GGCTGGTATGGCTCAGGGAGATTGAGAGCTGGCCTAAGAACTAAAAGGTTGCTGGTTTGATTCCCAGTCAGGGCACATGCTTGGGTTGCAGGCCAGGTCCTCAGCTGGGGGTGCTCTCAGCTGGGGGTGCTTAAGAGGCAACCACACATTGGTATTTCTCTCCCTTTCTTTCTCCCTCTCTTCCTATCTCTCTAAAAATAAATAAACAAATTCTAAATTAAAAAAATAAAAAGAGAGCGAAGTCAAGATATTTTTATTAAGTTGTATGAAACTTTAAGAAAACTGATATTTAAAAAAAGAAAGAATTCTATTCAAGAAAACTGATTTTAAAAAAGAGAGAGAATTCTAAAATTATGAACAGATGCTGGTAAATATTAAAGCAAGAGAGATTCAGTAAAAAGCCCAGTAACACGCTCTTCTTTTTCTCTTCAATTTTGTTTCTTTGTTGATTGCCAGTATGAACCATTCTCTGGATCTCTTTTTTAATCAATTAGAGTAAAAAGAAAACGAAAACAAGGATTCTGTAGGCAGCACGCTGCTGCTTTCTTTGTTCAGTTTGTTGCTAAAGCCTACTTGGGTTTATTTCTTACCGACAAACTTTGTCAGACGACACAAGTCAGAAGGGAAAATGCTAGAGCAGGAATGGTAACCATTTGGAGAGACAGGTTGGGTCTGACCTTACAATGTCAAATTGGACACCAAGGCCTGAGAAGTGATTTTGTTTGGGTGAGGAATTTGGAAGTTTTCTCTAGTGCTAGAATGTGGTCATTCACTGCGGCAGCCTGAGAATGTTCCCTACTTAGTAAAGGGTGTCCTCATCCATGGAATGGTGATGAGCGGTTGCACTAGTAAGGATGATGATGATGATGATGATGAAATTTATTAAGTGTTTATTATGTGGCAGACACTGTGCTCAATGCAAATGACCTAATTTCAATCTATATATAGTAACATCATAAGGTAGAACTATCTATAGCCCATCTTATAGTCAAGGAAATGCAGACTTAGTGAGGTTAAGTAACATGCACCAAGTCCCCCAGCTCATAAATGCCAGAGCTAGAACTCAAACCAATATTTGCCTGATTTCGGAGCTCAAAATGCCTACAAATATATTAAAAATTAATTAATGAGAATTTCCAAACTCAAACAAAAACTACAGAAACAATCAAATATAATTGTGCATGTATATATAGGGATGTATATATATGTGTGTGTGTGTATATACATATATACATGTGTGTATGTATATATATATATCCTAAGATTTGGCTTCAGAAGTTTCCATTTTAAATTAAATGATTGAATACTGGAACTATTAGTTTTCCAGTAGAAGTCTAAGATATTTCCAAAAAGATAACTTTATAGGTCAATAAAGATTCCCAACTTCCAAACTGGGATGAATGTCTTCAAATTCAGCATTATCTTTCACAGGAGAGAAAAGTTCACAATGAAATGACAGCCAGGGAGAAAATGTTGGCACTGTATGTAACCAACAAAGAGTGAACATCATTAATACACAAAGAACTTCTACAAATTAATAAGACCAAGACAAACAACTCCAGAGAAAAATAGCCTAAGAATATGAGAGTTAATTCCCAGAAAAAGTAAAACAAAAATATAAAAAGAAACTCAAACAAAGAAAGAAATGTATAAATAAATGTATAAAATAAGCAAATAAATAAAACTAGCTCATTCATCAGATTTATACATATCTTATGTTCATGGATTAGAAGAATTAACAGCAATAAAATGTCCATACTACCCAAAGCAATCTATAGATTCAATGCAACTCCTATGAAAATAACAATGGCACATTTCACAGATCTAGAACAGATATTCCAAAAAATGTATATAGAACCAAAAAAGATCCAGAATAGCCTTGGCAATTCTGTAAAAAACAAAGTTGGAAGGATCACAATACCTGACGTTAAACTATAGTACAAGGCCACTGTAATCAAGACAGTCTGGCATAAGAACAGACACATAGATCACCCAGAAATAAATCCATGTCTCTATGGTTGATTAATATTTAACAAAGGGAGCAAAAGCATACAATGGGAGTAAAATAGTCTCTTCAATAAACAGTGTTGGGAAAACTGGACTGGTACATGCAAAAAACGAAACTAGACCACCAAATTATACTGTATACCAGAATAAACTCCAAATGGATAAAAGGCTTAAATATAAGTTATAATACCATAAAAGTTGTAGTGAAAAACATAGGCAATAAAATTTCAGATACTCCATATAGCAACATTTCTGCCAATATATCTCCTAGGACAAGGGAAATAAAGGAAAAATAAACAAATGGGACTACATTTGTAGTCCCATTAAAAATTAAAAAGCTTCTGCATGGCTAAAGAAACCATTATCAAAATGAAAAAGGAATCAACTGTACAGGAAAACATATTTGCCAATGATACATTGTGCAAAAGTTTAATCTCCAAAATATATAAAGAACTCATATGACTCAACACCAGGAAGACAAAAAACCCAATTAAAAAATGGCCAAAGGACCTGAATAGACACTTCTCCAAGGAGGACATACAGAGGGCCCATAGACATATGAAAAATGCTCAATATCACTAGCCATCAGTGAGATGCAAATTAAAACCACAATGAGATATCACCTCACACCTGTCAGAATGGTAATCATTAATAAATCAACAAACAACAAGTGTTGGAGAGGTTGTGGAGAAAAGAGAACCCTAGTGCACTGTTTGTGGGGATGCAGACTGGTGTAGCCATTGTGGAAAACAGTATGGAATTTCTTAAAAAAACTAAAAATGGAACTTTCTTTGACCCAGCAATTCCACTGCTGGGAATAAACCCTAAGAATCCTGAAACACCAAATTCAAAAGCACTTATGCACCTCTATGTTCATAGCAGCACAATTTACAATAGCCAACTATTGGAAACAGCCCAAGTGTCCATCAGTAGATAAATGATGGTACAGTAGACAAATGAAAAGCTGTGGTATGTTTACATAATGGAATACTATGCAGCAGAAGGAAAGAAGTCCTACCTTTTGCGACAGCATGGATGGAACTGGAGGCTATTATGCTAAATGAAATAAGCCGGTCGGTGAAAGAGAAATAACATATGACCTCACTGATAGCTGGAATCTAATGAACAAAATAAACTAAAGAGAAAAATAGAACCAGAGACATGGAACCATGGAAGAGACTGACAGCTGTAGGAGGGGAGGGAGGAGGCAGGGATGGTGAAAGGAAGGGGAGGGGAATAAACAGAGAACGTGTATGAATGACCCATGGACATGGACAACGAGAGGGGATTGACTGCAGGCGAGAGGAATGGGCTGGGTAGGGTGGGGCAAAAGGGAAAAAACTGGGAAAACTGTAATAGAATAAACAATTTAAAAAAGAGGAGAAAAATAAGTTCATGTTAAAATATGCATTATTCTTTGACTTACCAATGCCACTTCCAGTTCCTATTCATTTACATAAGAATGGTCGTTTGCACAATTCTTTATAAATCGTATGTGTATGTGTATACATGTGTATCTAAATTTATTTTAGTTGAGAAAAAAGTAAAGTTTAGGTAAATACATATAGCTTACTTCCATTGGTTTAACACATAAGTTTTTGTGTTTGTAAGTAGGTTGTGCACATGCATAAGTCAGTGTAACAGCAGGGAGAAGCTGGGAAGGATGTGCACCAGATTGTCAAACTGGGAAAGAAGGGGAGGTGAGCAAAGGCAGGACTTCACCTCTTTGTCTACTTTTATTTTTGAAGCGGTGGGATTAGTATATACTGTATAGTTAGGGTGACTTGGGTATTTCATAAATAAAGTGAGTTTTAAAAAGGATAAAAATCATCTGTCTGATTGATTAATTATGAATCTAAAGTTATAAAATCTTGGACTTTTATGAAATAGTTCATGAACTAGTATAAAGATGTTGGAAATATATGGCAGTCCCTTTTAACATTGTTTTTTTTAGTTGTGAAAGGTGTAAATGTAAAATTTTGTAATATATAAACCAGAAAGAAAGAAATAAAAATTCCTGACAATTCTCATAATCCTCACAGTAAAGTACCCTACTATGCAACGGTTCTTGCAGGCTGTTTTAGTTCCTGTTTATTTTTAAGCTGTACAAAGTTTTGAGTGCCATCCCAAAAGCAATGGCATTGTGAATCAATCACCCAGGGGCAATTTTGTACAATTTTTTTCACACATATATACTCTTTTTTTAAAGTATAGCAATCGTAACATATGTCCACATAAAACATGTATACAAATGTTTACAGCAGCATTATTCATGTAAGAGTCAAAACGTGACACAACCCAGATGCCTATTAATTGATTAATGGATAAACAAAATCTGGCATAGTCATACAATGAAATGTTGTCAATAAAGGGGAATGAAGAACTGACACACACTACAACGTGGATGAACATCATGTTAAGTGAAAGAAGCCCGTCACAAAATATCACATATGGTACGATCTCGCTTATTTATATGAAATGTCCAGAACTGGCAAATCTACAGATTTGAGATAAAAATAGATACGTGGTTGATTGGGGCTGAAGGAGAGAGTAAGGAGGGGATCAGAAGGGACTACTAGTGGGTACAAGACTTCTTTGGGGGGAAATGAAAATGTTTTAAAATTAAATTATAGTGATGATTGTACAACTCTAATTATACTCAGGAACAGTGAACTGTACACTTTGAATGGGTAAACTTTTATGGTTTATAAATTACATCTAAATAAAACTCTTTTTAAAAGTCTTACGAAAGTTTTATTAATGTTATCATAACTGTAAATAAGAATTCTAGAAAATTTGACCTTTTTCTGAATTTCCCTTCTTCCCTCTGTTACTGCACTCCCCACACTCAACCCCAGGAAGAAACCTGGTTGACTGTGGCTCTTTTTATAGCAAGTTTCCTCCCTCCCAATATGCTTTGAACCTGTTTGGTTGACAACCTTTCTTGAATCGGCAGCCCACAGATGAAAGTAAAATGAAGCAGCAGTGCCTACCTTCAATTATATGTTTTCTTGACAACCCTCGTTCCGTTTCAGCTCTAAGAAGAAAAGAAGCAAATGACTTTGAGTGGGGTGTGCTTTCTTTGATCACTGTTTCAAAAGTACAGAAGAATAATCATTCTGGATTCCAGACTGAATGGCTATTTTATACCCTGTTTTTGGAAAATTCTGCACCATGCAGGCTGAGGGGAGAAGGCAGGTGGGCAGCATACTGAGCCTCTTTTCTCCGGAGACCCCAGGCAGTGAATCAAGCACGTCTGTCTCCGCACCATGGTGATAACTACTCAGCCACCCACACTTGTCCATATATAATTTGACACACAGCTCAACCTTCCCACCTTGTTCTTGCCAATCCTAAGCAAATACAATGCAACACAACACAACACAACACAACACAACACAACACAATACTCGATATAAGTCTGTTAGCTTATTATAATTATTGCCGTGCTGCTGGTGCCATTAGCTTTTCCAAGAAAGGAAGCAAATTTGAAAGTGCCTTTTGACTTTCAAAAGAAATGAACAACTATTGCCTTTTAAAATGTGATAAAACAATGTCTTTAAATTAGTATCCTAAGATGACCAACATTTAATGAGGACTTTTGCCTTTTCAGACCATTCTCAAGCTCTGGCCAATTAGAAAGAAATGTGGTCCCTGTGTTTGAAAGTATTGAGGAAATGTTTCTTCAACATCAATACTTTTGGCGACCTCTTTTATAAGCATAGGCGCCATTTGTCTGCAGTGATTTTGCATCTTTTATATTATGTAAAACTGTATGTAGTACTCTACTACACATTGGTGCTTGCAGATTGTCTTACTCCCTGCTTGTTTCTAAACGATAGGCCAGGTTTGGAGCTCCACTGCAGAAGCACCAAGCCATGGCACCATGAATCAGCGCACAGACAGTGAAAGTCCGACACATTTCTCATAGGTGCTGTGTTGCTTTATTTTTATGTAGACTACAGAGTAGTAAAAACCTAAGTTCCATTTTTGTTTTTGTATTCATCATAAGCAAGCTCAAAAACAAAAACACGAGTGAGTGTGTGTGTGCACACATACATTTTGATTAGAAGATTTATAAAAAACTGGCCTCTGCCTCCAATTTTGTTTTTAACTGTTTCCTATAAATTACAGGCAGGTAAATAAGGTTTCATTTGTGCTTGGTTTTTGTTGATAGATCTTTAGATTTCCATGAAAAGATGTATGGAATAGTTTGTTGCATTCGTACATGTTTATATTAAAGGCCAGACTTCTAAGTCCTGCTGGATAATGTAAGTACAAGTTTAAACACCAGGAGGTTCATCAGAGGGCAATTCACCCTCTGACATTTGTTCTGCATCCCACACCGGAGAGAGGACATCTCTTTCATGTGGCCTGACAACGAGGGACACAGGAAGCTTTGCATTCTTCTCTGATGAGATGCCCCTTTGGGGCAGCACTTACAGAGCCCTCTGCAGAAATGATCAGAGACTTACATGTGGGGCCAGACAAGGTATTTTTATCTTTGCATTCCATAGAAGTCTCCGAGTTTTGGTAGATTTGAGTAGCTTTTCTTCTGTAATGCTATGTGCTTATTTCCTTTTCCCAAAATTTGAACTCTATATTAGAAATGGTTTTAAGTATGAGGTTGGTATTTGAAGACTCTCCATGAATCACTTAATAACAAGTGACCACATACTTTGCACTAAATTTCTTTGGGATCATCTAGCTAATATTGAATCCAAGCTAGTTGCTATTTCCTTTGAGTGAGAAACAATCATCGTTCTCTCTAAACCAATTAATTTTGGTATATTAGATATAAAATGGTTGCCTAGAAATATAAAAGCACAAACTACTAGTTGTTTTCCTGTCAAGTAGGAAAAGTAAAAGGTATTTAACTTACTTTCCACCCCAGTAGAGTTTGGTTGTAATGACCAGGCTGGACCTCCTGTATATTAAACAGAAACACACACACAGAGCAATATTAAAAAATTGCTGGTTATTGTACTGAACCATATTATTATTATAACACAAAAAGAATTTATTGTACCTCACATTTTAAAAAAATTGGTAGAAAGATAAATTTGTTAATTCATATCACCGCAAAATGAGAACAGAGAGAAGCTAGTGAGTGAGGACCTGAAGTCAGGTCCCACAGGTAGGGGCTGAATGGAAGTCATCTCTACCCGGAGGGGCTGGATGGAGGAGGTTGAGGGCTGTGACTACGGGGGTGGGTGCTGGCAGAGCGAAGATAAGCGGTAGACATGGAGGGTCAGCAATAGCACATGAGAAGGGGAGATGAAAGAACTTAAATGATGCATTGCTTTAGGATCTCAAACAGCCACCAACTAACACTTAACTTAGTATCTGACATAATCTTGATGAAGCGTGAGCTTTCCTGGGGGTAAGTCCATCCTCCGTGGACCTAGTGGCTCTGAGTCACTACCCTAACCAACCATCCCATACACAGGCAGGAAATGACTACAAGGAAACATGAACGATGAAGTAAATTATAATGGGCAATAAGCAGGAATAAGCAGTGTCTTATTGAATGGAAATGCTATTTCAGGAAAACAGTCCAAAAATCCTTATCTTGAAATCCTGTCACAAACATAGTACTTTCTCAAAACCACACCCAAAGGGAAGAAATCCATTCTGACCATGGAATAAGAAATATGTCTGGAGAACTTTGGTCATATAGTTCGCAATTGAGAAGATCTCAGTGTAGTTTAGTTTCTCTGCGTATGTAATTCAATTGAACTCATCTAGAAGAAAAATCATTTGTGACTCAAAGGTTAAGACCAAACTTTGGGAGTATTTGCAATAAGGCATTTGTAAAATTTCATCATCTACAGCGGCGACACATCGGAACCCTCAGGTATAAAAGCCTCGCATGGTTAATGGTAACCAATGGGGAACAGCAGTGACAATTCTGACAACTTGGCTGCTACAAGAAGAATTTGTAGAAAATGTCAGCACCCATCCCACCGAAGTTAGTTCCCTGAAAAATAGTTGGAATCACTGTAACGGAAGGTCTATAGCTACAAGCATCTGGAGACTACACACCCAGGTGAGCTGATGCACTTCCCTGGTCGATCCTTGATCTTGTGAGACCTAGTAGGGCAGTGATCTGCCGGGGGGAGCCAGGTCTCCTTTGGCAAACACTTCCAGAGCTTCAACAAAAGGCTGGATGAAATATTGTTAAAAAATGAACACAGCCCTCGTGATTATTCAGAGCATTTGGGCCTGCCAAAGCTGCACATCCTCCTCCAATACAACCACCATAGACTTAATCTTCCCGAGTTGGGCTTCCTGTAAAATGCTGGGCCTATGTGGCTGTGCACACGAACATGAACGTTCGGACAGCAAGAGCAGACAGCAACCTGGCAAATGATCCCTCACTTCACAGGGGCATTTAGAATGGGTGAAGAATGATCACAGGAATGTTTTACTTTGATGCAGAACAGCCTTCAAAATACTTTTGCACACCTTATGTCACTTTGCCAGCAGGACACTTTTTGAACAGCGATGACATCTATGTTACAGGTGGAGAAACTTAGACTCAAAGAAGGAAAGTAATCTGTCCTGCGCAGCACAGCCAGCCAAGTGGTGGCACTGGGACTAGAAGCTGAGTATGTCCAAGTAGAAAGTGCCTCTATGGGCTCCATGCTATGATAATATAGTTTATCTTTTCCCCAGCTTTCTAGGGGCAGCAGTGAGCAGACATCAATATTCTGTGGCCTGGTGATAGCTTGATTTTTTATTTGCAAGACTGAAAGGCAGTTTGTGGAAGATGTACATTAATCTACCTTCTTGTAGGCATAAATAGGCTCTGCAAACTATGGAGAGTGATGGGTAAATGTTCTCTGGGCTTCCAGGGAGAAGGAGCCACAGCACTGACACGGCCCCTCCTGTTTCAGGTGTACGCGGTTGCCTACCCCCTGCTGCAGAGTTCACTGGACTGCTAGTGGACTCATCCCCAGGGTCTCTGTTATAGGTTGAACTGTGTCCCTCAGACAGATATGTCACTGAAGTCCTAACCCCCAGTACCTCAGAATGTCAGCTGATTTGAAAATAGGGTCACGGCACATGTAATTAGTTAAATTAAGATGAGGTTATACTGGAGAATGATGAGCCCTTAATCCAATGTGACCAGTGTCCTTATAAGAAGACACACAGACACACACCAGGGGAGAAAGTCCTGCAATGACAGAGGCAGATGCGGAAGAGCTGCACGTGCACCAAGGAACGCTGATGATCACCAGCACCCCCCAGGGGCTGGGAAGAGGCAAGGGAAGATTTCACCCAGAGTTTCAGAGGGAACATGGCTCAGCCCAAACCTGATTTTGGACTTCAGGCCTCCAGAACTGTGAGAGAATAAATTTCTGTTGGTTTAAGCCATCCAGTTTACGGCCCTTTGTTACAGCAGCCCTAGGAAATTGATGCAGTCCTGTCTGGGCAGTGGTGGGCGGGCCAATGTACTGAGTGGGAAGGTAATTCAGACAAGACGGGGAACTGGGTAGAGGCATGAATACTTTTCCACATTTAATGTTGAATACTGGTCTTTCTTAACACCCTTACTGTCCCTGGAGTTGGGGAGGAAGAGAAGCAAGAGGGAGAAATTTGGTCACCAAAATTTGTTGACAACTCCATAAATTTCTGTTTTCCTATTTCCATAAGGCCCTGTATTCCTACCAAACATTTTTCTAAGAGTGAAGGGATAGTAGCCCTAGGAATGCGTGGAGCTCTGTTCGACCCTTCTAGTTTTCCCTCCAGAGGGAACTGAAATACTTTGTGCAACGTCATAATAAAATCAGTCTGGCCTATACTCCTCAAGAATGTCCCTTTTTCCTGGACTAAATCTTATACAAGTTTTGCATACAAGCATGGTGCAGGGTTCACTTTGAACAGCTGTCTCACTAATACTGTTGATTGTTATTTATTTGACCCTCAGTAGAGATTATACCGGAGCAGAAGAGGACCCCCAACTTGTCCACTGGTCTTTGTTGGGCTCTGTCTGATGCTGTACTCATGCGGGGGAGGAAGTGGGGGAGCTGACACGCACAGTGACATGGAGGGTGCTGTCCCGCCCCCTGGATGTTATGGTTTCCACTATAACCACTGGCTTTGGCTACAGAAGGTGAGAGGATGGGACATGACCCCTCAAGGACAGAAGCTGAAGCACTTTCTTGAATGCCCAGGCGACAGGGCTCCCCGGACACAGGAGAGACATTGGGAGATACAGCTTTGGGGTATTTATCCCAAGGGCTTCTTATTTCATCATTTCTTTGCATTCAGAGTTGTGAATAAAAGGAGCAGTGGAAATAAATATGTGTGTATAAATAATCAGTTCCTGCCAGCTGGCTTCCTTCACCGAAGTACCATAAGTGGCAGTCGGAAGCCATGAGAGTGTCCCTTTCCTTTAGGGATGAATACCTCCTGAACATCCCCTCTTTCTCAGCTCAACCCCAAGGTAATTCATTGTGACTAATGACTAGTCAATAAGTGTTGAAGCACAAGTAATGAACTTGCTGGTATAACTTTCAAACCACTGTAGATCATTTCATTACTAACAGTTGACCTTTTTTGGACAACCTTTTGGTCAGTTGTCACCCAATTTTGTTTTCCCTTCCCTGGTACAAAATAATGACTGTCTTTTTAAAGGCAGGTGAATGATGACAGTGAATGCATTACCTCCAGCCTTTCTTCTTGATGATGCTCCCCAGAATCACTTCAGCCCTGGAGGGGGAAACACATAGTGTCTTAGGCTACAGTGACCTGGAAACGCAAGAGTCAATCCAAAACACCAGAGCCATCCCTTGTTTGAACTCTCAGAGCCTCTATGTCCCGAAAATAGAAGCTGTTCTCGGCTGGTAGCACAGTTTCCGCTGTTTCTGCTTGCGCCTGCAGAATCCTGCTCCCGAGCATTCCAGGAGCACCTGCCAAACCCTGACGCGCTGGCAGGAGACCACCCTGTGGTCCTGATACTGAGAAACAGTGGAGTCATTTGGCAGTTCGGTGTTTTTAAACTACTGATCTCATCTATAAATGTCCTGCTTGGCCGCGTCCAAGGGGAGTCAAGGTTTTCCTTCTATTTGCTATGGCTTCCAATGGTGACTGGAGGACAGCGAGACCTCATGCTGTTTAGATGGACAATATTGACTCCCAGGAGATCTTGCAGGGAAAAACAGCCTGTGCGTGGGTTTCGATGGATCAGACCCAGGACTGCAGATGCAGTGGCCCATATAGAGAATGTCTCAGGTTCCAGTGACAAGGATTGTCACAGAAGCAGGACATAAGGAGATTTAGAGAACTATCCTTCCTGCACTAAGGCTCAGTCATGGAGAGGTGTACCAAAGACATCTCCAGTCTTCTCCCCATCTCCCTAGCCCAGCTTGTACCCCAGCTTGAGGAGACTAAAACTTTATTCTAGGTCCCTGCCAGTGAGACCAACTTGTGAGAATCACTGTGCTCTCAGAGCTTTTGTGAATGGGGACACTAACGAGATGAACACTTTGTCTATTAGGGTCCTGTAGATGGGAGTCATTGCTAATCATTATTTGTCTTGACTGAGGGTTCTGTCTTTACTGGTGCATTTTTTGGAGACTGGCAGTAAGCCACGATGCAGTTTGCTATGGAGCACACCCCAAACAGACATGCACGGAATGTTCTGCAGTGCTCTTGGCTTCCTCCCCTTCCATCTCTCTGATAGTTGCCTTTTGCAACCTTGCTTTTCACAGTGGCAACTTATCTCAGTTACACACTGACAATCAATCAGTAATTAACCAGGACTGATTATTCTTCACAATGGGAATACAAACAGAGCTCTAACAGACTTGTTCACCACGCCTCCCTTTTTCAACCTTGGCCTCATTTGGTAGTGAGCCGGATTCAACAAAAGAAAAAAACTCCAAGAAAGAGTGTGATGTTGAAAGGAGCAAGGCCTTATCAATTTTACTTTCTCTTCTTGGACTCAACAGAAAACATCAGGGATGTGTGCTCTGGACCTCCTTGATGGACGTTACATGGAGACCTGCCCTTGACAGGGAGGAAACACACACAGGGAAAACGCACTTCCACCAGGCGATGCTGAGCCAGACTCAGCACCGTCCAGCATTTTCATTGCAATTTTCACCTGGAAGCGCGGGCACTCGGCCTGCAGGTGATCATGTACCTCAGCCTGTTAGCAAATGGCAGAGCTGCTCAAGCTGCTGTCTAGCGATTTAGTCCCTTTCAGCTCTTGCAGCTGTGTCCATGTTCACAGTGGGAGGTCAAGGTATTCCCATTCTGTTCTGAAATGTGCTTGTCATGCTGGAACCCGGAGGACATGGACCTTGAGGCATGCCTGAGGTCAGGTCACGTCACCCGTGTGCTCTGATTTAGCAAGAGCCCTGTCTGAGCTCCCAAACCTGCTCGTGTGTCCCTGGGAAGGTCGTAACTAGGTGTAACTTCTCCAGCAAAAGAAGTGAGGCTTCTTTGCAGCCTCCTTCTCTGTCCTCTGACTGGGGTCTGAAATGCCCCTTGTAAAGGATACTGGACTTCTTGGCATCTTTGGGGATCCCTCCTTTAATCTCTGATCTACCTGTAATGCTACAGGGAGGGACAAGCCTGCAAACAGGAAAGTCAGTTCCTGATTCCCTGCAGAGAGGATGGCCCAGTTTCCCTCAGGGGTTGAGAAACTATGAGATGTGGTTATGAAATAACAAGACTAGCCTTTGAACACCCATGCTGGAATCTGTTCATTTATTTGCTCACTCACACATTGAACTAACATTTATTGATCTCCACTGCCACCACTCTGGTCCCAGCCACCTCTGCCCCTCATGTAGACCACAGCAATTGCTTCCAGTGTGTCCTTCATACAGGGCCCAGTGGTAGGAAAGTTGGGGTGGGCAGAGGGGGCCGGAGACAGTCCATATCCCTAAGCCCTGGCGATGGTGATGGAAGGAGGGGAAAAAGCAATGCCATTGACATGTGTGACAATGACAGACCCTTCTGTGCCAGCATGTCAGTGATGGTTTGGGCAGAGTCCCTTGGTTCTAAGAACACCACCTGAAGGACTGGTACAGGTATTGACTTACTTTCCAGCGGCATAGACCTCGGCAGTATCAAAGAGGTTAACTCCACTTTCATAGGCGATTGTCATCAGCCGTTCAGCAACCTACAAGAAGATGTGAAGATCAGTCAAAAAAGCCAAATGCTTTCCAACTATGGGAAGCAACTTTGAATCCTTTAGTGGTCCTGAAGAACACTGAAATTTCACTAACCACTCCTTGCCTTTCTCAATCAGAGCAAAGAAAGGAAACAAGAAGATTTAGGCAGCATGTACAGGGTAAATGCACCCTTCCCCTCAGACACAGACCGGGCACTAAGGGGTTTCCGGCAGGTGCTGGGATAAGGCAGCCCCCCAGGAGCACAGTGAGGTGGGTGGACTGTTTCTCACTCTGCGTGGAAGACCTGGTTTGACAACATTCTCTCTGACACTGTAATCTCTTGGACAGAGAGGATCATTTGTATTGCAGCCAACTCCATTTCTCTTCTTTCTCCAAGCCAATCGGTTGTGGCACCAGGGTGACTCGTGACTTAAAAAGTCTGTGCCTTTTTTCCTCATGGCTCAGCAGACTGTTCTGGGAACCAAAGGTGAGACAGAATGGTGACTGCACGTCTCAGCAAATCCCCAGACACGATCACAGAGTGGCCAGCCAGCCGAATCCACGCGCACACAGAGGAGGGGGTGAGGCTCCGGGGTCCAGCTCCACACTGTCAGCCTGTAAACAGACCTCCAGGCTCCTGTCCCTTCCTTTGTGTTGCTGATGGCAAGCGGGAGGTGTGACGAGAATACAGGGATAACTACAGAGGAAGAGCAATAAAGAGAAGTGGAGGGGGCCAGTTTTTCATTGAGACTTATTAGTCAATTGAGATGCTACATACCTCATAAATAATTAAAATTGATTTTTCCATTATGTTTTTGATGGTGGGCTAAAGTTGCTTCATCAACATTTCCAAGATAAATTATTTTCCTGTTTTTCAAATTGGCCAACCAAGGAAATTGTTAGGCTAGCAAAGTGGGATCCCTGCAAACACTTTAGAAAAATAGCAGCAAACATGCTATTCCCTTTAAAAGCTACAACTGCTTTTAATTTTGTAGCATTGTGACATTTACTCTAAATAAAAATTAAACATTAAGACAAGTATGTTTTTTTCCAAAGTGACTTATTCTGTGTTTAAGAAGTTATTGTGATTGTATTATAATATTGCCCTTGTGCTGTATCACATGGCATAGTGGGGGATTATTATTGGGAAATGTACACAATAAATCTTATACAGACAGAAACTTTAAGATAAGAGAGACTCCTAGATGGAGGTTAGACTGAATGATTGCTGAGATGTTTTCTAACCAACCGCCACATTTGAAGGCCCCAACGTGGAATAATGAAATCATCAAACTAAGTCAGAACACTGACTTCTGGTCTTGAGTGAAATCACTTACTGGATGAAGAAACTTGAGCAAGTCATTTGAAATCTCTGCATCTCAGTGTCTTCATCTGCAGAATGAGGGTGATTCTGTTCAGGTCCTCATGGAGCCTAGAGGCCCAGAGGAAGCTCATCCCGCTCTTTCCTGGACTTATGATTCTAATCGAGGCCTAGAGTTTCTATGGCTCTCTTACTGCTGGAGACTGAAGTTCATGCACAGAGGAACACAGGGCCAGTCACTGGGAAATGGAGTGGGGACCACTGACTGAGTCAACCCTAAGGCTTGCTCTAAGCCTACACTTCTAGTGTGCAAATTAAAATAATTTCTTCCCTTTATTCATTAAGCCAATTTGAGTTTTTTGTTACCTGCAATTAAAGGAAGCCTAACTACCTTACAGATGAAAAAACGTAAGACTCTGAAAACTAAGGGCTGTAAGATGATAATATACTCTTACTATTACTTGAAAGTATTTATCATATGAATAACATTTAGTTTGGCTTTATAATGAAGCCAAATCTTCTTTGGGAGGCACCTCACAGCAGTATCTAGTTTCACATTTGAATCCTCTTGATAATACCCCTGTAAAGTGGCTATTCAATATATGGTTGAACTCTCCTGGTGGTGGGGATGTCATCACTTTCAGAGGTAGCACCACGTCACCCAGCACATCATACTGTGGTCACTCCAGGATCTCCTGTTTGTATTTGCATTGTGCTGAGAGAGGAAGTGGGAAAATCTGTGGAGGTGAACTTGTTGCTATTGGTTTGCATTTTTGCCACTTGGAGATATTTGAGCTTGAGCACTACAACCACTGGTGTGGCTGGTCTCCCTGTGCCCCCCTTCCTCCTCCTTGCTGGCATTCTCTGTGCAGGGACATAGGGGGAAGCCACCGCTGTCTCTGGAAGGACAGTACTTATTTGTCTGATCTGCATCTGAGGTGAGGCCTGCTCCAGACACTCATGACAACTTGATAGTACGGTTTTTAGAACCGTAATTTTGAGATGATTCATTTCAGAGGCCAGCCCTGCCCACTCTGACCTGGAGCAAAGCTGGGCTCACTGTGTCAGAGTGGCCAGCACTATAAAGGGCGGAGCAAGGATGAAGGGAAATTGGTGCACTTACAGTAGGCCTTTGTTGTCTTTTCCCTTCCAAACACCACACCAGGCAGTAGGTTATGCACAGTCTGGATACAATGGATTATTAACGTTAGACCTCCTTCCCTACCTGTCACCTATTTTGTATGTAAGTCAGCGGTCATTGCTCTGCTGTCTGTGGACTTGCCTATGTGCCTGTCCCACATACCCTACCTGATGCCAGTCAGAGGCCCCTGCAGTGAACCCTGTGATGGACGCCCAGATCCTCCTGCAGAACTGAGGGACTTATTCTCGTAGCTGCTAGGAATCCTGGCCTTCAAGCTGTCAGCTCTGTCTGGAAATTGCATATGGCTAAAGAGAGTCAACTAGCTCAACGTCAGACCTGCTTCCCAGGGCAGCCCTATTTAATGATTGTTCGTATAGGGGATATAAATGCTCAGTCCTTTTGCCCCAACTTGGGGCAATTCTGCATGGCCGTCCCATGTGTGGATTCTGAGATCACTACTTAATACTGTTCTGCATGCTAATCTCCATCTCAAAATCTGCTTCTCAAGGAATCCCCCGTGAGACAAACTCTCTATGGTGACCTATGCCTGATACTGGGGACAGGCATTCAGACTGGTAAGAATATGCAGATAAGTCTTCTCCTCCTGGATCTATTAAATAATGCTGGTGATGTTGGGAGCTGTTGACAAGACCCCCAAGTCCCCCATGCTTTTACTTAGGAATGATAGTAAGAATTGCCTTTACAAAAGGCTTGTTCTGCGTCAAGCACCGGCTCAGCACTTTACAGGCATCATGTCGTTCATCTCAACCATGGTCCCACTGAGTAGGGGCTACCATCTGCATTTCACTGATATGGCAACTGTTAGTAGATGTAAATGTTAGTAACTGTAGTTGGTCAGTGGCAGAGCGGGCTGGATCCCATTGAGCGCACCCGCTCAGACACACCACCCCTGACCCTCAGTGGTGCTCCAGGCAGGCGAGGAAGGACTGGAGGGTCTGCAGGGCATTGCCAACTTAGCTCACGGATGCCATGAAGGCATGCCCTTTACTAACATTTTATTTTTAATCACAGTTTATATTCAGTATTATTTTATGCTAGTTTTAGGTATACAGCATAGTGGTTAGCCAATTATATATTTTACAAAGTGCTCCCCCTGCAATATTTCCAGTACCTACCTGGCAGCCTACATAGTTATTACAATACTATTGACTATATTCCCTGTGCTTTACATCCCCATGACTGTTTTGTAATGATCAATTTGTACTTTTTAATTCCTTCACCTTTTTCACTCAGTTCCCTAACCCCCCTTCCCTTTGGCAACCATCATTCTTTTCTCTGTATTTATAATTCTGTTTCCATTTTTTTAAAAAATTTGTTCTATCACATGGTACTTGTCTTTCTCTGACTGCCTTTGTATAATATCCTCTATCAGGGGTGTCCAGTCTTTTGGCGTCTCTGGGCTACACTGGAAGAAGAGGAGTTGTCTTGGGCCCACACATAAATACACAAACACTAACGAAAACTGCAAAGCAAGAAAAGGATTTAAGTAAATTTGCAATTTTGTGTTGGGCTGCATGTGGCCTGCCAGCCACAGGCTGGACACCCCTGCATCTAGGTCTATCCATGTTGTCATGAATAGTAAGATTTCACGTGCCAGTATTCCTTAAATCCAATGATAAGGATATCACCTTCACAAGCACTGTTTTGAATGTGTAAACCCTTAAAGGAATTTCATGGTAAATATAACTATTATAGTTGCCATTTTTTTGAGTGTCTGCTACCTACTAGTCAAAGGGCTGTATAAATGTCTGACAGGTATATCATGGTTAGTTCTTCCCACAGACCCTGAAGGTCCACACTTTTATCCCATTTTACATAGGGGAAACTGAGACTCAGAGTGATTGGATTAACTTGTCTAAGTCATGGTGACCACCTGTCCTGGTTTGCCCAGGCCTGAGTGGTCCCATGCTAAAATGAGAAAGTCCATGCAAACAGGGACCAGGATGGTCACTCCAGGCAGAGCTAAAACAAATAACAATAGCAGTAAAATCTTTCCATAAAGGAGCTAATATTCATCCATACTGGTTCCTTCCTGATCAACTGACTACCACATATAATACATTGACAGTCTCAAGGATTAATAGTACAAATGTGAAAAACACAAGAAGCAAGATAAAATTGGAAATAATCTTTGAGTCAATCTTAACCATTTCCTGTAATTGAAATGCTGTCCTTGTTCAATGCCAGAATCTCAGGAAGAATGCTCCTATTGTACCATGCTCTCTATGTTTTCTTTGATCAGTAGCCATAACAGAAGACAAAAGTAACTTACCTCATCTGATATTTGACCTCCAAATGTCACCCATGTTCCTAGAAAAGATGAAATATTTGCACATTACTTATAATCATGTTTCTAATATGTGTATAATGATAGGAAACACTCTTTCTTACAGAAAGACTATTTCACAGGTTGTTTATGAAAGTAGCTGGTTGGGGGGCATTGGAGGGCTGAGGTCCAGCCCATCCTCTCACTAAGCCGCCCAGCAGGGGTCTGCAGGCCCCTGGAGGAAAGGATTCTCTTTCTGCACCCACAGGCACCTCATAAGAGCAGCCCAGCCTTACACAGCCTTTCTCTGCTGGTAGAGGACCATGAAAGCTAGTGTGCAGATGGCAGTGTCATCATGCCTACTCTGGCCACACACCCATCCTTGCTCTCACTTAGCTAAGGAGCCACCAGTTCTGAAAGTGAAGGTAAGATTTGGGTTAGGGTTCTTTCCTTCTTTGTCTCCAACAATTGACTCTGTTTTGTATTCCCTCTTACCTTTCAAAAGGAACCCTCTCAAAAGTCTTTCCAGTCCCTACTTCCAAGCCCCAGGAGAGGACACCTAACCACCTTCTCTGCTGTGACCTGCTACTCCAGAGTGGAAATCTGCATTGCTTTGGGGCCTGGACTGGGGGCAGTAGCTGGAGTGAGGATTGGGAAGGTAAGGGAAAGAGGCATAACCAGCCGCCATGTTTGTCTTCATGAAGCAGGTGGGAAGCAGACACTGCATGGGCTCTGTCACCCTAGTTTACAGTCACTTCATTCATTCCTTCCCTCCTTGATCCATTTTTTTTTTTTGAGTCCTAATTACATGCCAGGGAAACGCATTGCACCCAGGCGGTAGGGACTATGAGGTGACTGATCCAGTTTCGCCCACTGAGGCAAACACAAGGCAGTAAAGGAGGGAGGACTCCACCTAGACTGGAGGGATGTGGCACTCAAGAAAAACTTCCTAGAAGGGGTGATACTTTAGTTGAATCTCAAAGGAGGTAACTGAACAAAGGAGAAAGGGACAGGCACTCAGCTATAGGTATGAGCGCAGGCAAGGCGAGGAGGTAGAGAACTTTAGAGTGTGCTGACGAGCTATGACGTGGGCCACTGGGCCGAGCGAGGAAACGTGATGCAGAGAGAGGGGGGTGGCAGGAGTCAGAGCAGCCTGGGCACAGTTCACATTCGTGGGCAAAGAAACGCTGTGGAGACCTTTTTCGTTTCATAACAACAGTCCTAGCTACTGTTTATGGAATGCCTTCCAAATGCCAACAGTGTCCTAAAAGCTTTCACACTCTAATCATTCTGATGAACTTAACAAGGCAATTTTACTATTCCTATTTCCAAATGAGAACTCTAAGATCAACCAACCAATAAACAAAATACCCGGCATTCCCCACACACGCCTGACTCCAAGAAGGATGTCCTTTTTATTGCATCTCACTGACTCACTGCCTCTAGAATATTCCCAGATCGGTTATGGCACTAGAATGTCATACTCCATAGAATGTTGATTGTACCTTTTCTCTTCTTAGTTCCCAGAGACTAAAACAAAGGTAAGCTGACTATTATACTATTAATTGACTATTGATTAATTGATTGATTGGCTATTATACTCCATATCCCCAGAGGCTGCAGATGGGCAGTCCAAAGGCTGCACTCACATGCAGACTAACACAATGGTGACCCATTTGCTAGTTTAATAAATTCTGAGTAAGTTATCAGTGTTTAAATGATTAGGAGATTTTTATTTCAAATGATTGATTTCCAGTTTCTTTTAACAATAGATGGCTGGTGTCCCCACAAGGCAGACACCCCTGAATCCGAGGGCCAATGTCCTCTGTGGAAGGCCATGCCCTCCAGGGTTAGTCCAAGTCTGCACGCCTTCCTTTGTATCTTCAGCACCGAAATCAAATGCAGTTGTTATTTTCTGCCACGTTTATTGCTCTTTTTATTGTAAAATTAAAAAGAAAAATGAACTTGTGCATCTCCTAAAACACACACACAGCTGAGAAGTTCAAGAAAAAAAAATAGGAGTGCACTTTTGGGGGGTGGATGTGAAGAACATAAAAATGGAGACTATTTGCATAGAAAAATTCCAACTTAAGGCACCATGACTGGTGTACAGAAAAGACGGGTGTTGAGAAACTTAATGAACTGGAGAAACGGCAGCGTTTGTATTTGAATGGGAGTAAAAGAAGTGATTTGCTGTGAAATGCAGTTCTTTATTAAGTGAAAAAATTGCAGGGACATCAAAACCGTTTTATAGACAATGCTTTTATAAGAGTCTCTTTTGAGTGCAGCAGAAATGATGATGTGTCCAGGGAATAAATAAGCATTTGCAGATTTTAGTGTAATCAGAAACATTCTAGCTCAGCATGTTAAAAATATGGTTGAAACTTGGAGGATAAGTTAAATTATTGGTGGCATTTTCTATTGCAGCAAATGAGAACACAGATATAAATAATAGCACACTGTTAGCTGTGTTTATTTGTGATGTTCTGAAAATTTCAGAGAGGGCAAAGGACTTTTGAACAAGAAATCCTACAAGGCAAAACCTCAGGAAATGGCTCACTTTGTGATGAGAAAGGTCCCAGACCAGCGAGCGCAGAGTGCACTGGTCCAAGGTCTGTGTTAACTGCAGGAGGGGCTCTCACAAAGGCTGGGGCTGACATCGGACCTGTCACGCATCTGATTCCTAGGCGGCAGTATTTGGTAGGGGCACTAAACAATGAGGTCTGTAAGTTCATTAATTTTCTCATTCATCAGGAGTTGCTTTGGGCTAAAAAGTTAAAATGAACAAGCCATGAGTTCAGTAATTAATACCCTGAATCCACCATTCTTCTATATCTTGGAGCAGCATCAGGTCAGTGTCTGCTTGATGAATAGGCTGGCTTACTTGTACTGAGATGACAGAGGTTTTTTTAAAACGCCTCATGTCATCAAAGGGAGTAGTCCTATCTCCACTTAGCAGCAAAGACCGGCTGGAAGTTCCAGGTTTCCTGCTGATGTTACAACTCATCTACACCTTCTGAATATTTTTTTAAGGGGGCATTCACAAGTATTTGCATAAATATCTCTCACTTGCTTCTCTCCATCCTGACAAATAGACTCTTTGGGAAATTCAGTTGTTAAAAAATAATCCTATCCATTTTCCTATATTATAGTCAGTCTCCAGAATTGAAATTGATAGCCTGAAATTTGTTCTTTGAAATTGGGCCATTGAATATGGAATTTCAAACTTTATGAAAATAAACCAACACTATTTGGCTTAGCTTTCTTAATTAATTTTTTAAAGATTTTTGATCCAGAGATCCCACTGCTGGGACTATACCCTTAGAATGCTGAATCACCAATTCAAAAAACCTACGCACCCCAATGTTCATAGCACCATTATTTACAATAGCCAAGTGCTGGAAATAGCCTAAGTGCCCATCAGTAAATGAGTGGATCAAAGTACTGTGATACATTTATAAAGTGGAATACTATGCAGCAGAAAGAAAGAACTCCTACCCTTCATGACAGCATGGATGGATCTGGAGAGCATTATGGTAAGTGAAATAAGCCAGGCAGTGAATGACAAATACCATATGATCTCACCTATAAGTGGAACCTAACCAACAAAACAAACAAATGAGCAAAATAGAACCAGAGGCTTGGAAATAAAGAACAAGCTGACAGTAACCAAAGGGGAGAGGGGAGGGGAAAATGGGAGAAAGAAGGGGAAGGGGCAAGCACAGGAACACAAATAGAGGACTCATGCGCACGGACAATGGGGGGACTGACTGTGGGAGTTGGGAGGAGTGGGGTAAGGGTAAACAATGGGGAAAATGCGGGACAACTGTAACTGAACAACAATAAATGTAAAAAAAATCTTATGGCCTAAAATCTTATCTCTTAAGTAAATAAAAAAAGGAAGCAATGTATTACTAATTGAGAATGTTTCATTGATGTAAATTTTTTCTTATATAGGCAAAAGTATTAGTTCAAAAATCAGTCTTGACTGCATTAAGCATTTATAGATTAATAGGGTTTTGGAAATATATTTCCCAAAGAATTGTGATTCTGACTAAGTATAATGAATGTATTAAAGCAGCCTGCCCAATTGAATGTAAAATTCAAACTAAATGCGATATTGAATTTATAAACAACTATTAGCTGTAAAATATAATAAAGCCAATTACTGTGAAGGGAAAAAAGTTTATTTATTTTTAGAGGGAAAGGAAGGCAGGGAGAAAAACATTGATGTGAGAGAGAAACATTGGTTGGTTGCCTCTTGCAAGCATCCACACTGGGGACTGAGCCCGCAACCCAGACATGTGCCCTGACTGGGAGTCAAACCGGCAACCTTTCGCTTTGCAGGATGACACCCCACAGGGCTCTTACTTAATTTTTGATAGTACAAGTGAAAGGCTATGACTTGAAGTACTTAAGCTATACAGTGATCCCTCACCTATTGCGGGAGTTACGTTCTAGGGACCCCCGAGATAGGCAAAAATCCTTGCAGTAGTGCTGTTCTATTTATTTTATTATTTATATATTTTTTAAGGCTTTATAAACCCTTCCCATATTCCTATAAACCTTTCCCACTCTCTTATTAACCTTTCCCACACTCTTATAAAACACTTCACATGCTCTTAAACACTTTTTACACTCTTAAACCTACGTAATTTTAACAATATATAAAATTCTATATGGGCACTCACCAGTGAAGTACACCGTCATCCCTCGCTGTATCACGCGGGTTTTAGAAAACCCACGACACAGTGAAGCCACAGATAAGTGAACCTCAAAATAGTGGGGGACGACTGTAGTACAAGGTGGCACTGGAGACTGAGCAGGACAACTCTGAAGCCAGCACTGTCCGCGGACCTTGGAGGAGACCATCCTACTCACAGAGCCATTTACAATAATTCTATCCATGCTGGGAAGAGCTTGTTTTTATAAATATGGGTCTGAAAGGTGAATCTGAATAGAACTGCCCAGTGATCGCAGTTTAAGCCTTGAAGGCTGTACACCACACATGGCAGTGAAAACTACAGGGCCTGCCCCACATTCT